GGTGAAATCTCACTACTTTTCGCTGCGAATTTCCTCTTGCTGTAAAAAGAACGTTTCTGAATGCTATACATGAAAAAAGATCTGATAGACACCCAAATTTCGTGGCAATTCCGCTCTGCGTTCACTTCCTTAAATCTACTTCATAGTCGATAATTAACTTCTAGGATTAAAAATGACATTTTGAAAATGAATAACGTATCGTATTCTCCCGAGATAAAACGATTATAAATGAACATGCTCATATCATCATTACCATGAGACTTCAAGTTCGCGACTTAAATTTGCATAAAGCAGTTAATCGAAAAGTTGCCTGTGGTGCACGCATTTTCACTCATGGTCTGGGCGGCATTGAAAATTGCAAACCACTGAAAAATAAAACCAAAATTCATAATACTAATGAAGTAAATTACGCTTGCTCCCGACTTGTGAGTTTGTAGCTTAGTTGTTTGTGACACCCAATTGAGTCTGGGAGGCACGAATTAAAATCCCGTCGAAGTTTGTACCTTTATCAGCCTTCTTTTCTGCAATTGCTTAATACTGCATCACACTTGCGAGGTTCATTTCTTAAATTGCCGAAACTGCAGCTAGAATATTACGACCAGTTATTTGAAGAAAATGACTTAGGCAGCTGTGTTGGCCGATTCGTGACCCTCAAGATTTCTCTAGAAGCGAAATGTTTGAAGTAAATAAATATTTTTCCAATGTTCTTTCTAGGCCTTCTTTTCATGAAACTCTGATAGGATTTTCAAATGTAACAGCCAGTACAGTGCTTTTAAGAGTTTTTTAGAACTTATCTCTGAACCAAACTGAAGCAATCAACCTCACTAACTTTCTCGGACGTAAAATGCATTGCCTTAATGACTGATTAACAAACCACCCCCTACAAACGTACAAAACCGTGAACACCTAAGATATGCCTGAACGGTTGATTGTCTCGCAGTCAATCACCAACGAGATCTTAAGACACTGAGAGCACCGACACCGATCTACTGGTTTCATTGGTCACGTAACCATTTTTGAATCAAAACAGCTTCAAAATGCCCTGTCTTATCATGGACAAATTTAAATATTTTCTATTCCTTTGTGAGGAGAGCGAAAACCAATTGGAGGGATTTTAGGAATACTGACAAAAATAAGAAGCAAAGAATTTAATCATGAAAAGCGGTTGCGACGCTTGCACAGGACGACACGACATTTATTTTCCAGGAGTTTGAAAAAACCTTTCGGTGGAATTTCTGTGAAAATTTGTGACTGCCCGGCATTTAGTCTATGCAAAAGCGGTCAGTGTGTGAAACACAGATTGCAAACCGGGGGTAAAATGCAGACTGAGGGTAGAATGCAGACTGGTTCTTTAGTTGAAGTTTGTGGACATTTCTGGTTTCTCTAAATGATTCAAGTTAAAAGGAACTCGAGACTTCTACTTGCTCTTAATTTGTTTTAATTTAAGGAAGACTCTAACAATTTTCTAGAGAATAACAACACATCACAGCAAAACTAAATCTCGGCTAACAAGAAGCCCGACATAGGTTAAGTTGACCATGATAGCCACAGATTTACCTCGGTTTAGAACGGATTAATACGGACTAATACTAATTAGAAACGAAAGTTTCTAATCGTTCTTACCTTAAATCATTATTTCAACGCCAAAACCATTTGAGGAAGTGAAGTTTAAAACATCAATCGCCATGAGGACTATTGCCAGCATCTCACGACTTGTGCGGCCCCGATCCCAGCTCACTCTTGAAGTTTTTCTGGGGAAGAGGGTTGTTTTAGAACCGAGTCTGCATTTTTCCCCTGGTCTCCAGTCTTCAGTTTGCATTTTACCCTCAGTCTGCACTTTATCCACGGTCTGCAGTCTGCGTTTTACGCAGACCGCTTTTTTAATGCCGATACATTTTTGGTACGGCGTGATGCGTTGCGTTTCTTGTTTTACTCGTTTCTTCAGAACTGTGATTCTACTAGTACAAACTCGAGTCTAAGTCAGATTAAAGCACTCCTTTCGCTTCTTAAGTATAAAACAAAACGAAACGCTTTCATTGCGGCACGAAAGTAAAAGAAAAAACCTTCGATCACTTTGCGGCGAAACATTCTGCAAATGTGGGAGAGTCACTGATGTGTATCAAACGCAAACTTTAAATGCTGTAGACAACCTTAATATAGGAATAGCGTTTTGCCTCGTTTCTTGACTAAATAATACACTTATTAAAGAGGAACTAAAAAGGAGTGCACTTCAAATTTGTTGTTTTATTTTCCATCTGGTGGGAATTTATCGTAGCCGACGTCGATATTTCAACCGAACCGAATTATTCTGTCATATTTGAAGCTCTAAACAGCGATAAATGTAAACTAACTGTAACACTTTTTGTGCTGTATTTCGATTTCTGGGTTAATCAAACTTGCTTGTCCGCACGTTATTTGTTTTAGTGATACCCTATGTGCCAAACAACTTCACGTTGTAGTGATTTTTTAAGTCAAATAAAAAAGATGAGTGAAACAGAATGAGTGAAACAAACAGAAATTTGTTATTAAATTTTCACTCGTAAGTTCGCTGTGATCTAAGAAACGCGCATAGTTGGGTGCGTGTACGTGCGTGCAAGGTTATCGAGTGTTTGTCTATTTTTAATTAGTTTATAGAAGCCCCCCTATGTGCATTTGACAAGACTCAAATCAAAACTTGCTAAGAGTTATAGAAGTCTTGGGTCTCGTCGGGGTTCTCTTGTTTTTCCTTGCTTGGCTGTACAATTAATTCGTCCCACGTCCCTGTCCGTATTCACCTCAATCAGAACTCCATCCTAGGCCCCTCGACTCCGGAGTCCAGCGCGCGGAGTGGGAGTGTGGGACACCATGTCTTCCATTTATAAAAATTCAAGGAACACCTTCGCGTTGTAGTGATTTTTTAAGTCAAAATAAAAAAAAGATGAGTGAAACAGAGTGAGTGAAACAAACAGAAGTTTATTATTAAATTTGCACTCGTAAGTTAGCCGTGATCTAAGAAAAGCGCATGGGTGGGCGCGTGTACGTGCGTGCAAAGTTATAGAGTGTATGTCTATTTTTGGTTAGTTTATAGAAGCCACCCTATGTGCATATGACAAGACTCAAATCAAGACTTGTTAAGAGAAAAATCTCTGGAATCTGAAGCCGACTGTGTCCTCATGCCTCCATACATTCATACACCCTGGGATATAAAAAAAATTCAAAAGAAATTAGAGGTGTAACGAATGAACAAAACCACGCAGGAGAATCGACGGGAGGACTGTGTCTAGTTAGTTCTATATTATAATAATTATAACTGCCATTATAACTATCATAATTATTATTGGTATATACCACACAGACGAATAATGCTTTTCACGCGCGCTGATTATTGGGACCTACTATTCACCACCGTTTTATTTCAAGGTTGGTTGCGTAAAGGGTGAAAACTTTCCCCTGCCAGATATTCAGGATATTTCACACGAACATAAGCGATACATTCATGTCTCGGATACAAAACGTCAACCGTCATTAGTCGAGGAAATAAGGAGTTTCATCATTGATCATGATACAAGTGGATAAATCATTGTTAGGAAAATGTTTGAGTCTTTTACTTACGGCCGTGAAAAACCGCCTGTATTGACACATCTTCGCATAGTCCCAGTGTACGGGTTTCCTTTTCGACAGCACTTGCCGTTATTGCCCTCACAGCCCGTTCCTCCAACTGCAACACACGAGCGACGATGCAGATAGTTCTGAAAATTTATTGATGTAACAAAAACAACTAAATATTTCTTTCAGATAAAACCCTTCTGGCTTGTTATTTGTGGTCAATATTTCATGCTTATAACTTATTAGATTCTTTAAAGAGCAGAGATGACATTTAAGAAAATTAAGACTGTGAGTTCTTCAAAATTATCTTTCGACGACATATTTATTTAAGGGTGGCTATAAAACAACCTTTTGAACAATAAATGCAAATCAATAAAACAAATACGTCGTTTTTGATAAAAAGAGGAACCAAACAATGTGGATTAGAAAATCAATGCCATAAGTTATTGGACGTTACTGATACTTTTGTCAGACGTCACCATGTTATATATTAGCTAAGTATTGCACACTTAATTTCTCTTTTTTCTTGTTAAGAGAGAAACCCGTAATTATTACATCGACTACGGTGTTGTACAAGGATTTTCAGCCCTGAGAAAAGCCGTAACAACACACGTCGAGAAAAAATACGAGATTTTTTTTACGTGTTTTAATATCGCAAATCAGCTGCTGACACGTCACTCGCCTTTCGCGCCTTTCGGTCAGGTTGGTGAATGAACGGCAAAGCGCTCAATACAAGGTAGTTTGTCGTAACTTTCTCGGACTGTGGCGGCTGACAGCGAAAATCGACAACTGGACGATTTGCAACAGACCGATATTGGCTATTTACCTGAAAGATTTCTTCTGTCGGTTAGGACAATGTCAGTAAAGACGAATTTTGTAAATTGAAAATTACGCCCATTGTTGTCTTTGTAGTCGTGATTCAACGCATTTTTCCATCTTGAGCCTTAGCGCCAAGGCACTTTACGATTGTCGACTCTTATTTTCATTTATCAATGAAGTGGGCTTTTCTTGTCACTAAAGGGCTATGTTTTTACAGTGTTTAAGAGGGAGAATAAAGGAAATTGACTTCTAATGAGGGGAGATCATTAGAACTCTATCCCCCCCCCGGTCAGGTGATAAATAATAACCAATCCCTTAGTGCTACAAGGGCGGAAAGCAGAAGCTTTATTGGCGACTAACGTCACACCCTTTCTCGCAAATTTGCCTCTCGTCCTAATCCCTTTGTGTTAGAAGTCTATCTATAACCACCCATTCCAGTTTCTCATCGCCTTGGTAGAATTTTAGTCTCCCTCTATCAGTAAACCAACCTTTAAGAATTGCCTTTGGTAACGTTCAGTCTCCTGAAGGCGCAGCCTGGGTAATCTACGAGCCTCTGCCATTAGAACACAGGAGATCACCATGAAAACCAAAGCCAACTTCAACATCGTGTTAAACGTCACGTAAACCTCTGCAAAGGAATGTTTAAAGTCATCTCCATCGTGGGCGGGTTAATTGGTAAAATAAAGTATGTGCATGTGCTGTATCTGTAATTAGTTTCACTTCACTATCCTTAAGTAAATACCTTCATTGATAGTTTTTACACGCAGTAAATAACATTGGTGAATCTCACTAATTTTCGCTGCGAATTTTCTCCTGCTGTGAAAAGAACTTTTCTGAACTTTATACCTGAAAAAAAATCTCCACGACACCCAAAATTCGCGGCAATTCCGCTCTGAGTTCACCTCGTAAATCTGCATAAAGTATACATTCAAAACATTCTCAATACACTTGTCATCTACCTCTGGATGATAAAGTTCTAGGATTAAAAATGACAACGAGTTTTCCTGCATCATCCCTAAGAAATTCTCAACTTGTCAAGAAAATGAATTGGGGATCGTATCCTCCCGAGATTAAACGATTATAAATGAACATGCTCACAGAAGCGTTACCATAAGGCTTCAAGTTTGCGACTTAAATTTGCATAAAGCAGTTAGACAAGTTGCTTGTGGTGCACGCATTTTCACATATGGTATGGGCGGCATTGAAAACTGCAAACGACTGAAAAAAAAATCCAAATCCTAATACTAATGATGTAAACTTCTCTTGCTCCCGACGTGCGAGTTTGTAGCTCAGCTGTTAGTGACACCCAATAGAGTCTGGGAGGCAAGAGCTCAAATCCCATCGAAGTTTGAATTTTTACCACGCTTCTTTTCTGCAAGTGCTTAAAATTGCATCATACCTGCGAGGTTTATTTCTTCAATTGCCAAAACTACTGATAGAATATAACGATCCGTGATTTGAAGAAAATGACAACTTAGGCTGCGGTGTTAGCCGATCCGTGACCCTCGAGATTTCTTCATGAGCGAAACGTTTAAAGTAAATAAAGGTTTTTCCAATATTATTTCTAGGCCTACTTGACACTGTTCATGCTCTGATAGGATTTTTAGATGTTACAGCCAGTACGGTGCTTTTAAGAGTTATAGGTTCTCAGAACTTACCTCTGAATCAAACTGAAGCAGTTAACCACACTACTTTCTCGAACTTTCAATGTGTATCCTTAATAACTACTTGACAAACTTACAAAAGCGTGAACACCTAAGACATACCTAAAATGTTAATTGTCTTGCAATCATTCACAAACGATCAATAAACCTCGAGATTTCTAGGCTTACTTGATACTGTTCATGAAACTCTGATAGGATTTTCAAATGTAACAGCCAGTACGGAGCTTTTTAGAGTTATAAGTTCTCAGAACTTACCTCTGAACCAAACTGAAGCAGTGAACCTCACTTTCCTCATTAACTAATTAATCTAATTCACAGTCAAACTTACAAAACCGTGAACTCCTAAGATAAGCCTGAACGGTTGATTGTCTTGCAACCAATCACAGACGAGATCTTGCAATACAGAAAGCACAGACACCGATCAACTGTTTTCATCGGTCACGTAACTATTTTTAATTCAAAACAGTTTCAAAACATCCTCCGACTTTCTTACACAAAATTAAATATTTTTTATTTCTTTGTATGGAAAGCCAAAACCAGTTTAAGAGGTTTTAAGAATACTGACAAAATAATAATAATAAAGCAAAGAGTTTGAAAAGCGGTTGCAACGGTTGCACGAGGCAACGCGACATTTATTCTCAACAAGTTTTAGAGAACCCTTCGGTGGAAATTCTGAGAAAATTTCCGACTGCCCGGCATCAAGTATATTTGAGACCGGTCAGCGTAAAACGCAGACTGTAGACTGCACATCGGAGGTAAAATGCGGACTGAAGACTGCTGACCAGTGGTAAAATGCAGACTCGGTTCTAAAACAACCCACTTCCCCGGAAAAACTTCAAGAGTTCGTGAGAGGCTGGCAAGCTTTAAACAACGAGAAATGCAACCCAACAGTTACACTTTTTGTGCTATATATTTTCGATTTCTGGTAAAATAAAAAAGTATTGATGAAACATTGAGTCCCATCTGCTGGTCATTTGGAAATTGTCCCAATAACTTTCATTTCACACATACTGTGCATGCATTGCGATAGAAACGGAGATTAGGTTAGACACAACTGACATAGCCAAAGTTCCCTGCTAGCTATCAATCAGTCTTCTACTCCAATTAAAAAACCTTATTTTCCAGTAGAGTTCGATTGTAGCTTGCGGCGCTTTGGTTACTGTAAAGTTCTTTAGGTTGTCAATCTCCTTTTGGCCAAGTTCCTTTTGCTCGAAAAACTTGAGCCTGCGATTTTGTTTTGCTTGGTAACGAGAGATCGGAATAACCGCGTAAAATGTCAGTCCAACTTCACCAAAAAAGTAAGGAAAAAGTGTGTACACTTAAATCATACGTAAATCACAGTTTTCAAAAAGCTAACAAAAAAATTGTACAGTCTGCACGGTCTGGATGGAAAGAAAAAATCGACAGTGATCCTAACGTTTATCGGGGACTGGAAATAAACTGTGGATCTCTTTAAGTTGTCATGTTTCTCAAACAGTTTCCAAACAGAACGAAACTGCTTAGTACATAGCAGAAGACTGTTGTCCTAATGGGAGACCAAGATACTTAAAAGAATGACGAACACATTTTATTAGATGTTAGAGAAACAACACAGCAACCGCTTTGATAAAACTCCACAGCATCATATATCTTTAAAAACATCTACCTGCTTTGTACAGAAGTTATAACCCACCGGAACTAAAAGTCTCTAATTAACACAACGCGTCTGAGCCATATTGAAAAAACTTCAAACGGCATCCCAGCAGAGAGCTCTCGGAATATTCACGATACAAATTCATTTAAGTGCAATTGAACTTTAACGAACTTTGGGTACAACTGTTTCTAACAATTTCGTACGATCACCGCCTCCATCTCTCCCGACCCCAATTCTCCCGGAACCGTCTTTCGTCTCTACGTTCTTGGTATCTCGGTCGTTCGTCTATCGGTTGGGCGTGTCTGTCTCGCCGATGTTCATCCTCGTGCCAATGCCGTCCGGACCTGTGCTGATTCCGCCAGTCGTTTCGCGAATCCCGAGGGTTACGCGAATCAAATGAACCGGTAGACCTGGAATCCCGTGAGTAGCGCGGGTTATTGTACCAACTATCCCTCTCTCTTTCGCTCAATCGTCTTTGTTCCTGAGATTCACCTCTGTGTTCGCTTGATAATCGCCTATTCTCCCGCGATTCTAAGCGGGATTCGCGCGCCGCCAGCCGCGCACGCTCTTCTGGTCGAAGACCGCTGTACTGCTGCGTGACGTCGTTCACGTGACGATTAATGTGTGGAGGTTCAGTTATGTGTGAACCATGGCCCTGAGCAGGCGGCTGATGTCTCTGAGCAGACGATGCAGGCTGGAAATTCAGGACAGAGGGTTCAGGAAACTGATGGCCATGAGAACTGGAAAAAGTAGAATGTGAACCGTCAGTGGTAGAGCCATCACGCTCTGGAATACGCCCATTTGATATGACAGCCGCTGAACGTTGATCGGCTATAATTGAGGATTGTCGATCGCTCATACTTGAGGGCTGCTGTAATCCTCCACCGGTAGACATTGGTTGACGGTCAGCCATATCTGAAGCTTGTGGCCCATTTGCTCCAGTAGGCGTGTTTGTTTGGTCAATTAGCCCAGAAAGCTGTGGCCTGTACCCCGCTGGGGCCGAAGGATTTCTCATATTTTCACTGTTGAGAGGCACAATGGGCTGTAGTATGCTGCTACCTGATGCAGCGGACGGACTTCTCGACCCAGCTGAGATGAGCGACGGGTTAACGGTACCTGCTGTGGCTACGGCAGTGGTCTCGTTTCCGTGATTGCCTTCTCCTTTTGATCCGGTGGTAGCCCCTAAGGGTAGGATTGAAGTTAGTGCTGTCAAGTGGGGACTTAAACTTTTACTGGCAGCACCTTGAATTCTCTGAAGAGTGGAGACCAACATTTGCAGACTGGAGGGTTTGGTTGGCTCCTCTGATGGTACAGATACTGCAGGTTTGGCTGGGTTGAGCTCAGTGGAATTAAGGTCAAGAACTAAATCTTCTTCGGGATCATACGGTGCATCGTCGTCTACTGTTTCAGTCTTCTCATTTTCTGGATCATTTGCAACAGGAAATTGAATCTTCGGTTTATCCTCGCTATTAGCCGAAGTTGAATGGTCAACAACTGCAACTTCTTTTCGCTGTGTCTGTGCCAAGATATACTGCCGTGCGCGCTCTTGTAGATCCAGTAACTGCTGTTTCTGTGCCTCAAGGGAAGGAACAGATGAATTACTCGTAGAAACAGGAGAGCTCGCCGCTCCAGAGGAGGAAGCAACTGAAGGTGTGGATGTCTCAGAAACAGGAGAAGCTTTGGCGGACAAATCCTTGGTTTCCTTACTGCTGATCTTAGCTTGAGTGGTGTTGTACTGGAACACAATGTCTTCAATGTCCGCTGGAGGCGAGTCATGAAGTTCACTAAGCACGTCTCGTTTCCTGGCAGGACTTTCCACAGCACCTCCATCACTGCTGCTGTTCTCCACACTCGCTGAACTGGTTCGGCGCTTTGGAGGAGGGGACAGTGAGCGCTGACTAAGTGCACGCGGGCGTTTGAACATCACCTTAGATCGGACAATAACTCCGAGGAGCATGTGAGGACGGGGATCATTCAACCCTGAAGGAAAGAATAAATCCAACATCAATTCAATTTATTTCAGTTGCCCTTGCTATAAAAACAGTATAACCTGGCAGTGAAGAGAATGTCAAGCGTATGGTCTCAAACTTTTTTGGTAAGGAGTCTGTATAACAGTCAACCAAAGAACAATTGCCATGTAATTGCTTCACGCAATATCCAGATGAAATCTAACAAAAGGGTCGTACGAGTAGACAAGGCTGCAAGCTTGAAAGTGACATCCTGATATACCACCAAATTCGGTCGAATGGTTCAAAGGTAAAAGTGTAGACGCTAGGGAGAAACGTTTCGGAAAAGATCTAGGGAGTGAAGCGTTTTATGTTTCCATTCTCGAAGCTCTCTCGAATTTGCTATTCGCTACTCCCTCTTCGGGGAGGGGTGGTCAACTTGCTTTCCAAACAGCAGTCGAGAGGTCAAAGCTATAATCTAGAGGGTGTTATCCTGATGTAACACCAAGTTCTCTAGAATAGTTCAGATGGAAAAGATGCAAAACTGCAACAGCTTGGGGGTAAGAGTTTCAAATACGATCTAGGGAGTTAAGGGTTTAGGGAAGTTTTCTCTGCCAATTATCGAGTGTTTTGGAAAGCTAATTCAACGCAGGCTTAATTTTCGCCGTTCTCTTGAGTTTGCTCCGCGTTTCTCCCCGCCCGGGTACAGATGGTAGCCTTATTTCCCGAACAGTGGTCGATTGTCGAGCCTAAATTCATATATCAAGTTCAGATGCAGTCTTACCAGGTCCATCAAACGGTAGTAGTTCCGGCGGTATGCGTTGATGTGAGGCTAGAGGTACCAGATACATATCTTTGACTCCCGTGTAACAGTTACTGACTACTCCACATCGCTTTCTACTGTAAAAGTACGAATACAGCGACACGTAGCTCAACTTCTCGTCATCAGAGGAAGCCTCGTACCTGATCACACACACCTCCTGGGAAAAAAATCGAAGACGGAAACCATTACTTATAAATGGTAGAAAGAGTCTTCAAAAAAGCCTTTTGGTTCACACTGCCTCAGCTTATCCTGGTTTTAGAGGCATGGAGCGCTAGCGAGTATCACTACTAACTCTCGATATAATGTTGTGACAATATTATCTCATTAAAGTTATTCTCACCACTCAACATTCTAGACGGTTAAGTGGTTCCTATTTTTCGCCTGCGTAGAGCGGGGGCAGTAAGCCTCTCTGACATGACAACTCTTGCCCAAGAGTAAAAAAACAAACTGGGAAGAAATCTGCTACTAGTATTTCAAAAAACTCAAAATTGAGAAGTTTTAAAGAAATGTACGCAAATAGTTCTTACCCTTGATGTAGAGCTCTTCAGTTGTTGTAGATAGTCCCAAACCTGCTCATGCGCAATGCGACCCTGAACATGCAATGTATCGGGCAACAACTGCAGCAGATCGTCACATGGTCCGGACACACGATAAGCACTCGTACCGAACTTAGCTATACTCTGCATCATCACAAACCCTTTCCACACGGCTGGGACTTTCTTAGCTGTCTTGGCCAGCATAGAGGGTGACTCGGGAGGCTGCACGGCCGAGTCTGGTGAGCTGTGAAAACAACGCAGTCAAATACAGCAAGTTTCAATTAAGTGTCGAACGTCATCCGGGATCACACTGGTTTTGCTTTACTTTGCTCTGTGATTGGTCCAGAAACGTTGCGCCGCTCTCTCAACCAATCAAAGACAAAACTAAAACTAATCACGTCTTGGTCGCCGCGTTTTCCCGCGCTTTGGTTGGCCGCGGTAATTGCAGTAGTTTTGGTTTTTACGACACTCAATCGAAAAGCTCTCTAGAGCGCTTTTCGACTACGTTTCGTGAGATCAACACCAGAGTAATTATAACGGCCAATCAGAAGACAGACACATATCGCAAGGAGCTAATAAGAACTAAAAAATAAACATAAGCAAACTAGCTAAGGCGCGAGGCAACGCAAGTGCACAAATCGTAATTGGTTTTAGATTGAATTTGATTGGTCGATAGAGAGGCGCGAGTTTTCAAGACCAATCACGGAGCTATCTAAAGCAAAACAAAAGCGAAACTACAGCAAAACTAAAGCAAAACTACAACAAAACTACAGCAAAACTACAGAAAAACTACAGCAAAACTACAGCAAAACTACAGCAAAACTACAGCAAAACTACAGCAAAACTACAGCAAAACTACAGCAAAACTACAGCAAAACTACAGCAAAACTACAGCAAAACTACAGCAAAACTAAAGCACAACTTAGCAAACCTTGAGCAAACTGAGTCGAGAATCCGGAATTACAAACTATTTTAAACTAAAAAGGAACAAACCTGGCGGAAGTGACAATGTCCATGGGTGTAGGAGAAGGAATTGAACTCTCAGCAACAGCTTGAACTCTGTTAAAAACAAATCACCTCAACAATAAGAAAATGAAGCAACACCCCTCTGTCTCTCAAAACTTAACGCCCTACTCAAGCATCACACAAAATTCTTTCAAAACAATCAACAATTCTCGCGTCCCTCCCCTCCCTATGAACTCCCAATGCCTTACATTGACGTGGTTGATACAAGTGGCGCAGGTGTTTCTCTCCTAGGAGGTTCCCCTGGGGGTGCCATTTTTCCAGTGCAGATGCGGCAGTTGAGATCAAAGAGGTGAATCCGATGTTCATCTGTGGTGTCGAGAAGCAAGGTGCTGGATCCTGTGTTGCTATCAGGAAGACCTTTCTCTTCTTTAAGCTCTGTAGTTGCTTTGACTGAATTCTAAGAAAAAAAAAATAATAAGAAAAAGGCATAAAGAAGAGATTAACATATTGTAATTCTCAAAAACTAGATGTAACCCTCAACTCCTATTCTCAGCAAAAGCAGTTTGTAACTCATTCAAAACTGATATAAAAAAAGAAGCGCGAAATGCAAAGGAGGTTTTAACCTAGGACTTGTAAACCAAAATAAAGAAAACCGTGTGAAAATGATGCTTGGAAGCTTTCACTTGAATGGTTACTCAACAGCTTTTTATTTACGGATTTAGAAATAAATCCTTGGGTCACTAAGATTGTTGTGTTAAAAAAAAAAAGAAAAAAAATCCATGTTGTCGTGCGTCAGCTCAGTAACACAAAGCGATACTATGTGTGTCACATTATTACATTTCAAACTCCAAGTATTGCATTTCTAGTGTTCTGATTGGTTCACTAAACTTCAGTTATCGGCTCATATTCCGAGTCACCTTATACGGAAATGCATTGAGACGTACTGGAAGCTGAAAATTGTTGCTGAAAATATTCAAACGTCCAGAACTTAATGAAATTTAGCGTTTCTATTTGCTCTTGTTGGATACGAGAAGGGTTACAGCCAACTCATATTCAACGCGCGCTCATGGAATAATTGTTGAATATACGTCAATATACAGTATGGACAACTATTATTACTTCATTCTCACCTCAAGCGTACTCAAGTCATCATCGTCTATTTCAACCTCTCCCTAACAAAGCAGTCAAAGTATTAGGAGGTAAGAAGATATTCTTTATAAAGCACTCCATAACGTTAACCCTCTAACTCCCAGAAGTGATCAACACAAAACTTCTCCCTACAATATCCATACATTCTTCTGCAAACAGGTAATGAGAATATTCAAACTTATCAGGTAGAAGCTGCTATCTTGATCTAGCACCAAGTTCTCACAACTAATTTAAAAGGAAATGTGTAGCAGCTACAGGGGAGAATTAACAATCGCATCTTGGGAATTAAAGGGTTCAAAAAAACTAACCTTGTGTGTTTTCTTGGTATGTGCTTTGGTTGCATTTATCTCCTCTTGACTCATTCTAATCATTTCCAGGGTCTAAAGATATCAAGAGTAAAGTTTTACTTGAGAGGAAAACCGCCACGGCAAGACGCAAGTACAGAACATGTATGTATAATATGAAGTAGTCATTCCCAGTCCCTTCAAATCTTCTCCATCTTCAGCCATCCTTGCTTCTGCTTGGTTCATTACTACTTCTATTGCACTAATATTTTGCGGTCCCTTTCCACATGCAGATAGTTTGGCAGCTCCCAAAAGTGACTTAAAATAAAGTGACGGTGCCCCCCTTAAATATCCCTACAATAATAACACCCCAAAGGGGACATCCGTCGACACTGCTACTGAGGGTGACACATGCAACAATTGACGCCTTCGTGACTTCTCTATTAAATACAAATGGAATCAGTACTAACATGTTTTGTTTCCTGTTCCCGCCAGGTAGCCAGCTCTGGTGATGCCAGCTGTTCAGGTGTCATCCGCACGAGACGATCTACGGTTATCTCCCCTGACAGAACATGTCGAAACAGAACCTAATGATAAAAAAGAAACATTGACTACAGTGGCTCTCAAAGCAATGTTTTTCGGCAAAATTAATATAAACATTTCATTTCGAATCATAATTTGCTTAGACATTTGAAATCATTTCCAAAACATACCAAGCAAGCATTTTCTGAAACAGCATCAGTTTTAAAGGAAATTTTACAAATTGCAGACAGTGAGAGTTCGCAGCCTTTCAAAAGCTTCCAACCAATCTAACCTTGTTCCTGGGGTCCTTGAGGTTAAACATCAAGCTGCGGTACTTGTTCTTATAGCGTTGCCCTGTATCTCCAAAGAAAGAAAACATTTCCCTTTCGACATCCAGTGAACACTTGTCAATGTCTTCTTCAGTTACGTTAAAATCCTGTTGCTCCTTGGATCTGTAACGGACAATATCAATAAATATTTCAACAAAAGTTAAGTACTGCGCACTGACTCTAACAACTAATAAAATCAAGTTTTAATTCATGCAATATAACGTTTAATACCTGTAAGGATCCTTTTTTACTTAATATTTAGAATACCTACATAGATGTTGTCGTAGTCCTTATACACAAAGGTGATCCGCGGAGAAACTTATAGTATTCAAAAGGAAACAAATTGTCTGGTAATACTCTTGGCAAAGGTTTCATTAAATAACAAAAAGCAGGTTAGCCTGGAGGCTGTTGTCAAGACGCTTTTTCCTAAAAAAAAGTCCTTTGAGATAATCATTATAATGGCATGTCATTATAACATGTAAATTGTTATGTTTATAGTCTAATATCATTTATAAAATAATTCAAATAGTACGCGCGCTCTGATTGGCCATAAAACCATTTTACATAAGCGTATGTAAACACGGTTCTCGTTCCTCTTTCATTAGTTATTTTATAAAAGAAATGTAAAATGGTTTCCGTGTTTACATAGCCTGATGTAAACACTTGGGAGGTTGGGAGAACACGAGATAAGCGTAAGAAACTACGACGCGAAGCGGAGGTTTCCTCCCAACCTCCCGCGTGTTTACATCAGGCTATGTAAACACGGAAACCATTTGACATTTCTTCAGTATAACACGCATATGACAAACCTTGTTGTTAAGATTTCCCTCAGTGATTTTTTAATATTTTCTCTCACGGTTTTCTCGCTATCTTCTTTTTTGTCTTTCTTTTTCTCATCTTTTCCAACTGCAATTCAACACAAAAGATGTTTTAACTTAATCCTTCCAACCTAATAACAATTTCCATGAGGGTTTTCAACATCAAAATGCATCACAATCACTTGACTAAGTTTAAAGAAATACACGGCAGAAAGGCAAGAGAGTTCCCAAGTTCATCTCCACCACAAGAACCAATATGAATTTAAGTACCCCATTTCGTTGAAATGAGTGCCCATGTTCTAATGAGCGCCAAACCCCTTGGCCACACTGTCAAACAAGCATCCCTCTCAAATAAGTGCCTCCTTCCTCACTTTCTTAAATAGCAGGGATACAAGGAAAACCTGTTCCTATTGCCACTTTATTTATAACTTCTCAAGCTTCAACTACAATGGAATAAGCACAGGAGAGCTACCCTCAATTAAGTGCACTCCTCTCCATGAGCACCCCTCCTTTTAGCAGAAATTTGAAATCATCACCCACGTAATTATAAGAGGAAATACAGTGAGTTATGCATCAGTTTAAAAGCCTGGAAATAATCCTGTTGGTCACATTGCATGTATTTCCCTATTCCTGTCTATCTGAACAAGAGCAGGAATTCCACCTAATTATTTCCGATAAACGATTTTACCCGAAAAAATAATACACAGATTGTGGTCCTTAGGGACAATTTTTCTCCTATTTCCAGATGTAAATGGTTGATCTCAAACTACAAACCTGATGGCCGCAGCACCTCAAATGTAGGATGATCATGCAGCCAATCAACTAACTCCTCCTGACAGGGTGCTGCCACACCTGCAATCACCCGCCCAGTGGACCTCTCAATGACTGCTATTCCCTCTTTGAGTTGTGCAGATTCTGTCTGTGAGGAGACTTGGGCTGTTTCAGAATTCCAAGGGACTGGCCCTAGCAGACTTGACTAAACCATGAAATTAAAAGAGTGCTCTTTTTGTTATTAAGATAAAATGTTGACCTGAAATAATAAATGTTGCATATTTCAAGATGCCCCGAGAACTGCCTGTACGGTACACGTCACTGCCTTTCCACACCCACAAAAGAAACACGGTTACCTTGGCAGTGCTTTGATGTTAGAGTAGTCATATAAACAGAAAGTCTATAGTGCTGCTGTGGTACTACTGTTCTTTTTTAACTGTATGCTGGTTTGTCATCCATGCTCCCTAACTGATAATCATCAAACTTACTACCACCTCAGATTTGCAATTCAATCAATGACCTCCTGTTTTGGAGGAGGAATATGTTCCTGTTTTGAAAGAAGTTCCTTTTTGGTACCAGTGGCATTTAAAAGGGGTCAACCTTGCCAAAGAAAGTGCCTTTCAAGACAGCCCTTAGTGTCCACTTGGATAAACATATTGTGAAAAAAAAAGTACAGACTTACTGTTGGTGATGTGACATTCTTGGATGTGGGCACGGAGGATTTGCACCCCATTCGTTTTTTCTTCTCTTCCATGATTATTTTCAAAGATTCCTCAGCATGTCTGAAAATTCAACCAAGACAAATAATAAGCCTACTCAAGAATGCCTTACACTTTGCTTGACATTTCTTCTTAACCCTTGAACTCCAAGATGAGATTAAGATGTAACTTCTCCCTATAATATCCATACAGTAATTGGCAAACAGGTAATGAGAATACTCGAACTTATCAGGTAGATGTTGTTATCTTGACCTAACACCAACTTCTTGTAACCAATTTAATAGGAAATCTGTAGCAGCAAGATGGGAGAATTAACAATCAGATCTTAGGAGTTAAACAGTTAAACTGAATCTCTCACATGTGAAAACAAAGCTATTTAAAAGGATTCTTATCATGTAATACCTCTGCTTTTTATTTCAAATAGCATCCTAATGGCCTTCACTGAACTACAAATCATTTTGTATGTGCATGTATCATAAAAGGTCTAATTTGGCCCTTTACAGTATAACTCCCATGAGAGACCAAGACAGAATTTCTCCTTATGATATCAAAACAATATCAAGCAGACAAGTAATGAGAAAAAAGAAAAACACCAATAAAGGGATTATTGGTGTTGATCCAATAACAAATTCTCCAAACCAACATCACAAGATTTGTATAGCAGACTGTAAGGAGAATTACTAATCAGATATTGGTAGGAATGGGTATACTGTGATGCACCATGGAACATGGAGATGGGAATTTGCACTTGTGTTTTGGAACTGACTTGACTGAGATTGACCTGAAAATGATATGAACTCTAGCAGTTTGTCAAAAACTGTTGTGCAGCTGGGTATAACTAATATTATTGCATGTCTGTAGGTATCACTCTACTATTTGATCACTCAAATGAAAGCAATTACACCATCCTTTTAAGTTGTGCTGCTTATGGCACTTTCAGAGTTTGTTCTAACTTTTAGACTCAAGGTGAACCACCTTCACTGAGTAACTAAGTGGAAAAAGGACTTGTTAACAACAACTCGCCTAAAAGTTTTTCACTTCATTGTGGTAAATACATGACAGGGGATTATTTTACCATTACCATTCATATCAAGTCTTACCTTTGCATACACTCTGAACTGCAGTAAACAGATTGATAATCAGCAAGTTTAGAACAATCAGTGGCCACACAGTGCGACTGGGTGGGATGATGCATGTATGATGCTGGAGTTGGTGTTGTCCTCACCTGTGCAGCAACAAAAAGATCTTAAGTATGTCTTCTTTTTTAATGCTGCACTGTTGTCTTGCATTTCACCAAGTTAATTGTTATGTTTTTTGTTATGAAAATGTACAACCAATGTCTGGTTTCTTTCTCAAATTTTGTCATGGTTTTGATTAATTGGTAACTGGACTCTGTGCTATCCAATTGTGTCTGTAATCATACTCGTTGTTAACAAATTGGACTCCTGCTTTGCAAGTGTCCAATTTTGTTAACCACTCACACGATTCCAGACTGAATTAGACTCCACTCAATCCTGTTACCATTATAAATGGTGGGAATAGACTTCACCTTCTTGGGTATTTTGAAGCCTTTGTGTTCTGGAATGTTTTTCCTTCTTTCATCTCTTGTTTCTCCTTTAGAATCTCTAGATCTTTTGCTACTGTCATCCTTAACAGAAACAAAACCTACAATTAATTGTTAAAACTAAACCAGGTCAATATATGCAATACCAAGGACACTGTTCAACCCCATAGGTTCAAAAATTTAATCCTTTATATCCTAACATCAGTATGCATATTCTCCTTACTGCTTCCTAGACATTTCCTAGGGTGCTGAAAAGGAGAATTTGTTTAACAATCAACAGCTTCTTTAGTCGGTGATCATTTTCTTTACTCTCATGATCTTAATGTGTGATTGAGGGGTGATATTGTGAGGAGAAATTATTTGCTTGTCACTCTCAAGTGTCAAGGGGTAAAAGACTTCTTTCAGATGAGATTTCTACTTTTTAAGCAAAAGTTCCATCTACAATGCAAATGATGGATTCAATTTACTGGATACATTGTTTAAAAGAATAAGGTATTTCTCTAAATATGTGTTGGTCATATAGAGCATTAATAAAATATTGTGAACTTTTGAAATTGTTGAACAAAAGCGATTGGTTGCACAAACACTTGTGCTATACATGCACATACCTCATTCATTTCAACCCTGATATGTCGCCGCTTTCTTGTCTCTGGTTCGCCAGGGATTTTCATCTTAAGCGAGCGCTCTCTGCGAGGACGACATTCTCCTGTGTTTTCTGTATTAGTGACCTCTCTGCTCTCTTCCTCAGGTCTTCCTGATGTTGCTTTGGCTTCCTTGCTGCCCTCTTCTTCTATTTTTGCTGGGATGTCAAAAAAAAAATACCATTACCTCAGTTAGAACTATCTTCCAATGTAATTCAGTATGGGGACTGCAACATTACTATCCAAACAAAGCTATTTTATTCTATTCTACAGTGATGCTACCTTTGCATTTAGGGCAGACATAGTCTTGGCTGTTCTTCTCCATTTGTCTTCCCTGAGCCATTGTTATGCCAACACACATCCCATGAAACCACTCTTCACAGCGGTCACAACAAATCATGAACCTAAAAAATCACAAACAATTAACATGATGACCTTAAAATATTACAAGCACATGTACTGATCTTTGCTGTTCAATATGTTGCTATTGGTTATCAATGTATAAATAAATCACTGTAGATTTCATAACAAAGCTTGCCCACTTAAAATCATCAGCTTGATCTCAGTGTTTTTTCTGTATGATTTTATCAATAAAGTACATGCTAATATTGACACAGAATTGTGCACGCGTCTGAATTTCTTTGACCTTTACACTCAACAAATAAGCATTCACGCTTTCAAAAGTTAGATCAGACAACTTTTAAAAGACTGAAATGTATCACCTTAATGTCACGTTTTTGCCACCAAAAAGTTGAATAACATAACGTGCGGGTTATCCACCAGTGTAGGTAATCTGTTGACTTTTTTTTTGGCCTATGCAATAATCGGCCAGTGTGGGTAATAGGCCGTGCAGGTGAAAAAACCCCTTTGTCTCTTGCACAATATATATATATATATGTTTACATAATAAGCTGAATCATGCTTGTATTTTAATTTGTTCTTGCAAATGATCTGTTGGAGCACATTGGCATTTTTTGCTTTTATATGATATAAAACAAAGAGATTCCATGTTGAAGATGTCAAAATAAGGTGAGAGCATCAGTGACACACTCAGCTACACCATGTGTACCACTTTTTTCTTCACCACATTTGAAGTCATATGATAGGAACATGGAATCTAACTGTTAACCCTTTAACTCCCATGAACGACCAAGACAGAATTTCTCCTTACAATATCGATACAATATCAAGCAGATAAGTGATGAGAATAAAGAAAAATATCAATTTGAGGATAATAATTATTGGTTGATCCATTCCTAAATTCTCTGAACTAACATCATAAGATTTACATGGTTGGCAGTAAGGATAATTACAAATTTGATCTGAGAGTTAAAGGGTTAAATCCTGTCTGGTAAAGTGAACTAACATGATCTTACCTGTTACCATGTGGTTTTCTACAGATACACCACAAACGATCTGGATCATACTCTGGATCATAATCTGAGTCATCGTTAACCTCCTCATTGTTATCTGAGTCCATCTCAGCATCTGACTCTTTATCTTCTTTGCTTTCTTTTAAGTCTTTCTTCCCAGGATCCTGTTTAGAATCCTCGACAGCTTCCTCGTCTGTTAAATCATGAGCAGTGACCTCTTTTTTAACAGATTTCTCAACACTTTTGTCCTCTTTATCAGACTTTGTATCTCCTTCACTTAGCACATTTTCTCTTTTATCAGTTTTTTGCATGTTGTGTGTGGAATTATTTTCCATAGATGTTTCCAATTGTTCACCTTTTTCAGCATTTTTCTCTGAGTTATCCACAGTCTTTCTTTCTTGTCTTCTGCTACTTCTCTTATTTTCATTTTCCTTGTTTTCAGATGGTTCAACTTTCACTTCCGCTATCTTCTTTCTGACAGCTTTTTCTTCTATGTCACCTCCTCTTTCCTTCTTGGCAAATGATATACTTTTATCATCTTTCACCTCAGAACTACCAGCAGTCCTCTTAGAAATGTCTTGATCATCTTCTTTTATATCTGACTCATTAATTGTAATCTCTGTTTCGCTACTGTCTTTGACTTTTGCTTCTCCAGTTTTCAGTTCATTGTGAGATTCTTCTTTAGTTTTTTTCACCTTTGTTTTGACCTTTCCCTCTGCTGCCTTCTCTTCTTCTTCTTTAGTTTGTTTTCCTCTATTTCTAGTCACCCTTCCACTTTTTCTTATAACTGTTTTTTCCTCTGGTCCACTTTTCGCCTCTTCAGAAATTTCTGTTTTCCTATTTCTTCTCTTTGTGTTTGATCTAGTTTCATCAGATTTGCTTTCTTTATCATTGCTCTCTTCTTTATTACCATCTGAATCTTCAGGGTTTGTTTCCTGATGTTTTCTTGGAGCTTTTTTGTTTGTTTTCTTCATTGCCTCCACAAAAGCCTTGCTTTGATTCCTGGGTGACCTACAAGAAATGTAAAATTATATTATATTTAAAAAAATTAAGTCCTATTAAAGGGTAATAGGTTGACCACTGGAGATTTCAAGCAGAATTTCTTCACTAGGCTATACAATTGTATATGTCTTTTGGTTTTCCTGAGTTGAACTCCTCAGAGGCACCAAGTAAATAGCTAACTGCTCATTTTCAGCTTTTTTCTCCTTTGTTTTGTTAACCCTTTGACTACCAAGATCTCATTAGTAATTCTCCTTACTGTCTGCCATACAGTTCTTGTGATGTCAGTTTTGAGAATTTTGTATTGGATCAACTAATGATCCTCTACCTGATATTTTTCTTTATTCTCATCACTTGTCTGCTTGATATTGTAAGGAGAAATTCTGTCTTGGTCACTTGTGGGAGTTAAGGGTTAATATTTGTTGTTTTTCAACATCTCTAATTGGGGTTTTAAACAACTATCTTGAATTTAATCTGTTAATTTACTTATTTAAAATGTCCAGAATGTCACCCAAATTTGCAAGTATTGGAGAGCAGGCAATTTAATGTTTATTATTTGCCATTTACTGTACAAGGATTCACCCTATACTCCCATGTTCTAAGTAGTAATTCTCTTTACACTCTGCCACATAATTGCTATAATGTTCATTCTGAGAATTTGGTTTTGGATCTACTTGTAATCCCCAAATTGATATTTTAATTTTTCTACTCATGACTTGTCTGTTTAATATTGTAATGATGTTATAAGGAGAAATATTGTCTTGGTCACTCATGAATGTTGAAGGGTAAGAGGGAGGATGGCGATTTTACGCTTTAACAATTTTATTCTGTACCAAACTGTCTGTGGTGATCCTTGGATGAGATAAACATGCAAAGAGATCTTCTCCTAGCATGAAATCTTCGGCAACAAAATATAACAAGCATGTATCACAGAGCATTGTGGGAGACAAATTACATTGACGCTGCTCATCCTTGGGTCAATTATCATGCTTTTTTTTCAAGTGCTGATCCAGACATTGTACATGTAACATAAGATTTGGGTTTAAAAAAAATTAATTTGTAGCAGATGGGGAGGCAGGCAGACTACTGCTAATATGGTTCTGCAGTAAATAACTTTCAACCTTCCATAAGGAAAGATATATAACGATTCAATGCATCTCGGCTATTTCAAATGACCTAGGCTGAGATGCCTGTCACAGGGTGGAACAGTGTGTAAAGTGTGTAAAGAATAGCAGACATTTAACCCTTACACTCCCAGATCTCATTATTAATTCTCCTTACTATCTGTCATACAAGTCTTGTGATGTTAGTTCTGAGAATTTTGTGTTGGATCAACTTGTAATCCCCCGATTGACATTCTTCTTTATTCTAATCACCTATCTGCTTGATAATGTATTGATACTTAAGTAGAAACTCTTAAGGGTTAAGGGCAGCCTACAGATCTGGTTTAGGGGCAAAGAGGATAATAAGAAAATGAAAAACATCTGAGAGAGCTTACCTTCGCACATTTTTAGAAGAGTCTTCTGGCTGTGAAGATGCTTTTTGTGCCTTTGCATCTTCCTTTGCATTTCTCTTTTTGTTATTTACAACTTTATCTTTCCCTTTTTTGTCAGCATCACTGTCATCCTTTTCCACTTTTTTCTGTGCCCTGCCACTTCTGCGTACTTCTTTCTTTTCTTCTCCTTCAGGCTGTTTTGCATATTTTAGCTTTGATATATCTTTGCCTCTTGAGATGGTTTTTCCAGCTAGGTTGCTTGTTTTTTGTGCATCTGAATCCTTTTTAACCTGAACACGCTTTCGAGGAGAACGCCTCACACCTTTGTTGTCATCCTCCTGCTTCTCATCTCCTGGATTCCCTGTGGTTTTATTTAATTCTGCACGGTCCTTAGACCAATTAACGTTATCAGAACCACCAGCCTGTGAAACATTTTCTTCAGCACTGTTTACTGGAGATGACTCGTCTCGTTTGTTCAGTATCCTATCCGCTTCGACTATTGAATCAAACGATGGGAACATGGTTCCATGGAAACCAAGTTCGCCTGTTAAAAGAACATCGTGGTTTTGTTTCAATGAGTCACTAAGCTCTGGATCAGTGTAAAGAAGGTTCGTTTCGCCGCTCGAGCTCAGAACTTCGTCGATTCGTTTGAAAGTATCATGCGGGAGAAAATGCTCGCTCAACACATCGACTTCGGCAGGATTTTGAGTCAGTTCGTGCACTTGATCGTCGGTAAACACTGGACTAATTGACGGTGTTATGTCTCGTAGCTCGACGTGTGGGTCAGTTGATATGTCACATATTGACCAGACGCTCGATTGTGCAGTGTTTGAAATCGTGGTAGCAGTAGTTGTTTTCGAAGGCACTCCTTCTACACTGGTATCAGCTGAAACCTTCGTCTTCATACGGAAAATAACGTAAATTGGAAATCATAAACAACTAATTCTACGTTGGGATCTAACCCAAGGACGTGCGAGATCTGCTGAACTCCGTCTCAAAGCAAGTACCCAGATTTCCTGAACGTGAAAGTGGAATTCAAGAAGAGTGAAAAATGGCTTGCAATCACAAATTACCGGCAGTGTAAACGATCTAAGTCTTCGAATACCTGACTCCTGTTGGGCCAAATTCGCCAGCCACATGCCGCCATGTTGTACCAAATCACGTGGGCATGTTTACACGCATGCACTCTCCCGCCATATATGGCGCATAAATCAGGTGTCTTCTGCACTGACCCCTCCCTGGTAAAGATGGTTGACTGCTTTGAGCAATTTAGTACGAGGAATCGCCTTTATTTACCATTTTCATTCTATATTAATAGGTCTAAGTGTCCATATCCTGATTGCGGTGGTTTTAAGTTATAAAATAAAAAATAATAAAAAAAAGTCGGATCACTCAAGGGGGACAGGAGCCCTGGCTCCTGAGGGAGATTGAAACGCACTGCAATTTGCAATAGCTTTGAAAACATTCCTAAAACGCTGCTCACTTATTTTTTCTCTTTTGAAACTTAAAAGCCTGATTTAGAAAAGGCTTTCAGCAGGTCACGAGCATGGATAGTGAAAGAATATCTTATAAGCCCGAAAGGTCTTCCTTTGCCAGGCAAGTGTGATGGATTGGATTTCGCAAGAAATATCAAAAGGCATGGGAAAATGTCGAATGTTGCGTACTTTGAAAAGCGGGTAGAAGCTTCTTCGTTTTGTTTTTATCCATCACGCCATTTGTGTCTAAGTTTCATCATTAAAAGAAGTTTTACTGATACGGTATTCAGCTGGGGGCGAATTATTGTGCAATTTTCTCTGGAAGTTGTATCTAACAGGGGTAACTTTTTTCGTGTGTGTTTCTGTCAATGTATTCCGAACATTATTTCTCTCGCTTATTAAACTCCCCTTACGGAACGGAATTACGGCCTCGCGGTAGGTGCATATCATAAAGTAATTTTGACAAGGAGAAATAAAGACGATAAAGGCTTGCCATAAACAGAACTTTAATTTATCGATAATCAAACCCAGCATAAATAATTTTAGCTACAAACAATTTTCTATTAAATAATTGTCTGTTCCCCTGATCCAGCAGGTCATGGTTACAATCCCAGTACGGTTAACCCGCCAAAAATATTTTTCAAGCGATACCTATAGTACTGCAATAGGTTGCAAGTCTCGCATCATGAGTTTGCGATGCCGATGCGACAATCGACGAATACTAATAATAATAATAATTTATTCACAGCATATCCACATAAAAAGATGTGGCTCTTACTCATCTGTGAAGGCTCTACAAAAGTATCATCTATAAAAATTTAAATATAGAATAATCAAGAAAAATTACTGGTATTACAAAACTACTAAATTACCACATAATCTATACATTTTGCGCATATATAATAAATGAATGCAAAAGCGGTCTTAAAGAAGGAAAGGTCTTACAGGGAAGACAAAACACGCGCTTTTAAAAATGTTTTGCAATACAAGGTTAAGAATGCAATTTTTCTTGTCGTCGAAAACTAAAGACTAATTCATACAATTGTGCTAGTTTTAGCCCTGGCAGTGATTCGGATTTTCCCGTGGAAACTTAGTAATAGTCGAATTACGATATCTATTAAATAATCATCCGAGCAATACCTAAGATTTTGATTGGAAACAGTCACGCTAAAAATGTGTCGCGCATTCCAATTAAGAAAACAGAATACAAAACCCTCCTTTTCCTTTTCTGTGACGTACCGATAAATAAAAGTGTATATAAATATAATTTCCAGCACATGTATTGCGTTTACCCAGCAAGGGGTCTAGGACGAAAAATAGGATCTCGTGACAATCACTCAGGTCGCGCTGGAGCAAGAAAGAGAGGCTACATATCATTACACTATTTAAGATCCTGTCGTAAAAAAGTCGTGACGCGCAATGTTCTTCCATTTCGCCTGACAATAAACGGGAAACTTTAGAATAATGGCTTTATCTGAACTTTGAGGAGGATTTTTTCTTTGCCTTATCAGCTTTGTCCTCGGCATGTTTTTTCTTGGCCCAGACTTTCTTGCCGGGTTTTTCGCGACCAGGCTTTTGTATGGTTGTAGTATGTGTCTCCTGACTCAACATTTCACCAACATCATCCACCTTGTCAATCACAACAGTGATCTGCTCAGGATCCCCGTCCGTCATGTCATTGTTGTTGCCAAATACGGCAGAAGGGGACTTGGGAGAGGCAGTATCGAGACTTTTTCTGGATTCCCCATTTGTCTCCTTCTGAAGCACTTTCATAATTGCGAGGTTTTCCTTTTTACCATAAAGAAAAGGATTCATGACCACTTCCGTTCGCGCCCATGCCTTCCGGTTTAATTTTTCCGTGTCAACGAAACGTCTGGGGCGAATCTGTTCTTGGAAATTAGCTACAGCAGCTAACTCACGGGATTTCTTCGTCTTGGGACGAAGAATCGGTGGCAGTGCATTCTGCTTCTTTTGTTTTTCTTGGAGTTTTCTTTCGCGGGCATATTTACAGGCAGCTGGAAAGAGAAACATCGTGAAATCAACTTAGCCGACTTTCCAGAAAATTTCGTCGTAATTTTAATTTACAGCAAAGATCTTTCTCGAGCGATAAATTATAATGTGCACTACATGGCCTTGAGAAGTCAACCTACTAGTCAAAATCGGTCGCTTTACGCGAGAAACCTTTCCCGCGTCTTACATGTTATCGTTAATAACTGCTGTCAATTTGAATCAAGCGCTATTGCAAAAACTATCAGTTGATAGATGAACGAGCCTTCGACACTAAGGAAACTTTCGCTTAAAAGATAACAGGGATTCTTGTTTGAAATTTGAAGTCTAATTCCTGAAGAACACCACTCTCGGCGTGTCTCGAGCCGCCAGTACAAAGTATGGGGTACGAAGATTCTAAGAGTGAAATCAAAAGCTTCAAAAATGATAAGAATCAATTGTTTGCGTTTCGTTCACCCGCTTGTATGTAAGTTACCTTGCCCTCATTTCCATGCAGTTTATGCAATTCCCTCTCCGCTTTATGAAAAAATCGGACGATTCCTTTCCTGGTAACGCTTTTGGAGAAACGTCTATGGTTTAAGATTTTCAACGTAAAACACGATGTGTTACCTTTAGCTTGATTAAAGGCAGACAGAACATCAAGCTGAGCCCAACATGGCGTGTTGACATCATCCTCGCCATCTTTCACAAAACTGAAGTAGACCGAGGTACTCGACAAAATCCTTTCCTCAATATCAGAATCAAAGTTTTTGGACTCAAGGCAGTGATACTGAACTAGGGCTGCAAAAGACTCCCAATCAAAAACCTGACAAAATATGAAACAAATTCCACGCGTTGATCCTTCGTTAAAGTTTTATAAACTTGCACCACACAAAGCACATGAAGTCGAAGAGGAATAACTCCCTTATCATTGTTGAATAGAAATATTATTTACTTGAGATATCACACGATTCTGAATGACCTTCAAAAGTGAGTTCCCCCTACATGAAACTTTAACGATCTAGCGATTCCTCTGACAACATGATGTAAAATTTAACTGAGTTTTCTCTGGGATTTTCCCGAGTTAATCCTCTTTATGTACCCTCCCTTTATCACTGTTACCATCTCATAGAATCAATACATTGAAACAAAACAAAACAAAAAAAAACAGAGACGGTTGATAAGAGGAAATAAACATGAGAACCAGACCAAGGGGTATAGTTTTATTGAACAGCTAATATGCACCACCAACATGAAAAATAAGATGTGACGGACGACTCTGTTTTTCAAAGAATAATGAAGAAAAAGTTAAGCTTACTGGGGTTGAAATACCCATTACATAGTTTATTTTACTTGAAGCGACGACCGCATGGACTGCGTAACGTCGTAAGTAGGAGAAGAGAAACGCAAAATGGGATATGAACAGAAAGGAGAGGAAGGGGGGGAGGCATTTCTCTGTACCCACAGTGCACATCGAAAGAAACGTACCTTAAGAGTGACATCTTTTTCTAGGACCCCTGTTGAAGCGATCACCTCTTCGGATAGGAAATGACCCTGCCAACAAAGACATTGAGTTTTTAGACTTAAGATAATTTACCTTGGCAGGTCAACAGTAACTGTAGCGCAAACGTCTGAGAACCTAAACAATTTCTGACTGTAATTTCCTTATAATTTCAGTCCTTCTGAAATCTTCAGTACCCGTCACTTAAATAGCGCTCTTTCTGATAAAAAATATGGTGATATTGAAATACAACTGAAAGCGGAGCTCTAGTCTATTGATTTTAACTGGCCTTTATGTATGTTTTCTTGCGTGTGGGTCTTCGCTAGCGTGCTTTGCGTGCAGAAACACTCATACGGTAAGCTCTGATTCCCTACAACCGTTGATGCGAGAATTTCTGTAGAGTACTACGCCACAGTACGGAGAACGTAATAGTGCGTTTCTTCCTACCTTCACAAAAATGTGGTTCTTGCTTCCTCGAGTCACCCATACGTTTCCTTGCTCATCGTTCACAATCTCTATTCCCTGAAAACATAAGTACAAACGCTTCATTCCCAGAAGAAATAACACTTGTCCAACCAAATTTCGTAAACAATCAAAGTGACAGGATTTTGTATAGGGATAGATTATGAAATTTCTATACAAAGGTATTGCCACACTTCTTGGATGAGATGTTTGTTACTTACAAGTCACCCCCTGAATTTCGTCAAGCTTCAGTGACAGTCCGTTAGTACCCACTCATTTTCATGGGAGGAGAGAAGAGAGGCAATGCCAGAGCAGGTGTCTCCCTTAAAAACAAAATCAAGAGACACCCCAGACTCAACTTCCACCCCCCCCGGGGGGCGTTGGATTGTCAGCTTGTCTTTGAAAGAAATTCAATAGACTCACCTTTCCAACGTAGTTCCGCAGTCTTGTAATCTTGGGGTCAGAACTTGGTGGTAACGCTCCGAGGCCGATCCTGTGAAAAACCGGTAAAGACTGAGAACATATCGATTGATTTACTTACCACAGTCAGTGATTGGTCAAGAATATCGTAATATCCTCCATTAACCAATCAGATACAAGGCTATATGGTCGCTCGCCTTTTTTTTTTTCGAGGTAGTTGCATTGCCTTACGTTAGACCTCCGAGTGGCTTCCTTAAACAGCTCCCTTGTCCTGGTTAGCCGTTGTGACTGAGATGGTCATTTTCCTCTTCTTTCAATCCATGAAACAACCCTACTCTTATCTCGATTAACGAAAGTACAGGGCTCGAGAAAGCGCGAGGTTTGGGACGAGGAAAAGCTACGACAACTACCGTTAACGTCCACCGTGAAGTTCAGGCTCTCTTGAGAGCAGCAGAGAAAGTTGAGAGGAGCGGACAATTTAGGGCGACAAAGTGATTGTGGGGGAGGTACGACAGTATAGACTTTTGAGGTAAGTAAAACCAACTACACACTACACCGAAATAAATGTAACCTAATAATATTTTCCTGTAACGAAGTTCCCTCGAAAACTTTTTAATGTCATGGTGTATACTATAATTTTATTGCATGTTACTTGACTCTTTAGAGGGGGGGGGAGACAATGCGGGGAGGGATTTTTTGAGTCCCTTGGGGGAGGATATTGTCAAATAAATAATACTCCACTTTTGCGCAGAAGATTCTCAGTATTAATTACCTTGTGACGTCAAAAGCGTTATTGGAGCCATCGATGATGATTGACGGACGATCAATGGAGAACTCACTTAGAGGAATTTCCCTCTCATAGCAAGTTATTTTACACCAAACCAGGGGTGCGGCATCAAATTCTGTTTCAGATTCCTAATGATAAATGGAGAAACTTTTGAGTTGAAAGCTCCGCAAACTATAGAGTTTCGCTTTGTGAAGAGAGGTCAGGGTGATCTAGAGGGGGCTCGATTGGATCACCCTGACCTCTCACTTAACCAATCACAATAGCCGATTCAACCATGCTATAAACCAGTTTCGAGAAGAATTCCAAGTGCTCAGTAAATTTAGCGCTCCAATGCTATGCTGATTTACATGAAAACTCACATTTGAAAACGTGGATCCAATGGAGAGAATGGACAAATCAGACCATCTCGACTTCGGAGGACCGGGACGTGTAGGAGAGTCTGGGCCGAATAGATCAGAGGCAGAACCCAAAGATAAGTTAGACGCTCTCGACTGTGGAGGACCGGGACGAGTAGGAGAGTCTGGGCTGAATACATCAGACACAGAACCCACTGATAAGTTAGACGTTCTCGACTGAGGACGACCGGGACTTGTAGGAGAGTCTGGGCCGAATATATCGGAGACAGAACCCAGTGATAAGTCAGACATTCTCTGCTGCGGAGGATTGGGGCGAGGGGAAGTTGGCGGTGAGCCTGCATCTGGGAAATCGAAACCTGTGGAAAAATCACATCAGAGAAAAAAAATTAAAACGAAAACTAATCACCTAAATCAAAACAGAATACTGAAAGGACTGGATAGTTTCAAATACAGTATCTATTGGGTAAAAAAATGTTATTAAGGCTGCTTCTATAAAATAGGTTATTTCATTAAAAATTTCAATTTCACCAGTTTTTCACAACTTGCCATAACGCAAAATAAAAACGGAATTGCGTCACTTTCCAGTTTTTTCAAGACTCGACACTGTTCAGTTTACGCGCACAAATCACGCGTGAAGTAAAGTAAAATAAGGATGTGCAGTGCAACGAATGATCTTAACCCTAATTGGGAGCTTGTTATATAGTACTGGACTGGAACCAATTGTTACAACGAGAAGTGTCACACATTAAGTCTATTTCCTCCAATTTATGAAGTAAAAAGGCGCAGTTAGTTACATACTTGACGTTTGTGAGGATGCCGATGGACTCTTTTGGTTCAGAAGGTTCGGGCTCCATGCCTGTCTGTTCACATTGGCCATCTAGACAAAAGATTGAATTAAATTCATCAGTTCTTAGGTACGTTAGGATGTGTAGACACTGAGCAATAATCAACTGAGTATCCAAACTAATTTATGATTGCAGTGATTCCCCTCTATACACTTTGTGGTTGGTCAGGAAAACTAAAAACAACCCGTCAATCAATCATATGCAAAACCAGAGGCAACCCAAGCGTACTAAATATGAATTCGGGGTTTCAGGTCAGTAACAGGAGTATCTTCGAGATATTCTTGGTGATGATCTGATAATGATATAATAATTACTTATATCAAATAAATAAATAAATAAATAAAGTAAAACGTTTCTCGATGTGAAGTTTAAGCGGTTTTGCAATGAAGTTCTCTTTAACTGATTAAAGTACATGTTCCGTATAATAATACACGCAATCTGGACCGGAAAAATTAACTATTAAGCAAAACTTGTGAAGCCCTTTATTCCATAAATATCCGCCATGCCGGTGATTTCCAGCCGGCGCTGGCGCTGGCGCTATCAGTTTTGTAAACTCTCTCGTTTATGCTCATGGAAAAAGGTGGAAGTATGGTTTAACTTCACCCACTTTTCATATAACCCTGCTGACAATACCAAAAATATATTTTTGGCCACAGTAAATGCAAGAACTGTCTTCTTTTGAATCCAAGAACGGCTTTGGGCAGACAGCATTAAGTTCAGGTTTTTCCTTGGTGTGGAAAATATGCTTAACCTCTGTAATAGTTGTACCGCTGGCTAGTTCAAACACTACCTCGTTTTGTTTATGTATTTGTTTTGAGTCCTCCTCCTTGACTTGATTGGTGTTGTGTTGAAACATCGTCTCACTTCGACCGCCGATCTGCAAAATAACAACGAAGAAAACAATAAACAAAATTACGGCCTCCTCTTTACAACAGACACTCTCCTCTGTAACCAAGATGGCCAGCGTGGAGAGATCTAATTATACATGTAGATTCAGAAGAATTTACCACTGTGCGATGTTATGCCAAGATTGCTTTTTCATTATGACATAAAATCTTGTTTACAACTCCTCTTGGAAAGTTTGTGGTTTAATTCTGCACTCACCGTATTCAGGAAACTTTTCACATTATTTTCCTGTACCCCTTTCAGCCGTTTCAGTCTGGAATAAAGAGCCCTCGCCTGCCAGCCTCTGACAACTGAAGAAAAAAAATGGGATGTCTATCATGTTTTAAAAAAATTTCAGTAGATGTGTTGTACCAAGAAAAATGGCTGTGCCTAGCTTATCTACACACTCGATACGCAAGTAACCACCTGAGCTGGTCCCTCTAAGTAACTAGTTGCCTCCTTACACTTCTGTAAAGTTTACTTTCTCATTGATTTGGTCCTTTCACGCGAAGATTCGAGGGCACCTGAGAAACTTTTAGAGAAATCGGGGTAATATTCTACGATAAAGCAATAGGTGCGAACTTTTAGGAGCATTTGTTCATCAAGTCAAGCCTAAGGAAATCACAACCAGCGACCAGAACACAGTCAAATATCAGAAGAAGCCAAAAAGCACTCTAAGCAAGCTCACGTGACTAGGTCATAGCGCGGGAAACGGCGCCTGGGTAAGTTGTATATCTGATTTGCTTAGGATGTAGCACGAGATTTTATGATCAATCAAAGATGGAATTAAAGAAAAGTTAGAGGAGTGCTCTATCACGTGACTGGGTTTTCCAAGGTAATAAACTATGGTTGAATAGATGTCAAATCATACGAGTACCTCGGCTGATAACCGTCCCCTGAGTTTGCAACACGTACTGCATTTAATGCGATGAGATCGTAAAGAAATTAATGAGTGGGTAATACCCCAAGAATGCATCTAGTGAAGGATATCTCAGTGGAAACCAAAGACCGAGCGGTTTTACCTTTCTGTATAACGACAGCCACAGAGTCGAAGCGATCCAGGAGTGTGTACAACCTTTCTAAACACCAATACTTCAAAAACACCTGTCGCAATAAAAAAAAGGCTTCAAGACAACATCAAAAGCGAAAAGAACAGAAGCTACAAATGCTCGCTATGAAGACGTCAAAGAATATTACGGCCAAACATCAGCCCTTGGTACCTTAGTTTTACCCATTCTCCAACCTTGAGAACCTGCCAACTGACGAAGCATCTTCTGACATGTCTGATTACTGTCTTTCACAAACGCACCTAAGGGCAGACCAGCCAGGATGCCAAACCTATTAAAAGAAATCTCAATGAATGGAGCCCGCTTAGCTGAAGACTACAGGCGTAGATTAGGGGAAGGGTTGTTCACAACTAGATCTAAAGAGAAATTTGATTCAGATTTATGGCTTTGCTGAGAGGTTTATTATATTCAGTTTCTCTCTGTCTTATTTTTGCATTTCACAAAGATTAACCCCAAACCGTTGGCGCTGATAAACGTTTCAATCGAAAGAGAAGAAAAGTCATTAGCCCATTTCTGATTTCTCTTGGTTTAGAGATCTGGTACTGAAATTAAGGCCCGAGAACGAAACTAAGTGCGAAGTCGCTCTCGTCACGTCTTCCTTTCGGCACCAAATCCCTGAACCGTGGGAACTCGGAATTTGACTTTCATCAGGGAGGTCTAATCGCATTTTGAGCGACCATGCCTGCCGCAGATTTCTGACTTCTCAGGACAAAACCGCTCTATATTCCAACGCACGTGCGCGAAATACCACTAAAGCAAAACAACAGATACGTCAACCTTTTGATGAAGACGTCAAATGGGAACCAAACAGGAAACCCAAAATTCCTCATCTGAATCGTCTGAACCACAGCCAGCGCCCTCACTTGAGCGAGAACCGTGTCGGGATCAAATCGGTCGGGGGACTGATACGAATTTGGCTTGATACACCTGTTTAATAAACACCCAGTCAAGTTAGAGGTACATTGCGAAGCCTACTGAGCGAGCTTTTCAGCAAGACTTCGAAACTACTGCATGTACTATGACCCTTAAGTGCACTGCAAATTTTTCGTTATAAGCTTATTTGCAAATTTTCCTCGACGATGCAGATGAAAAAATGAGAAAAGTTTTCCCTAGTCCAAGAGTAGCATTGTCCAAAACTGATGACGCATATTCTCTCCGCAGCAGGACAAGACTTGTAAGGTTTCCTACATTTTGAATCGTTTGAAGATATAGTGTTATCACGCCATTTCAAATTCCAATTTCTTGTCGTTAATTTCTAACCACAGATTTTTGAACGAGGCGGTTCCAGAGGTATTTTAAAATTCTCCTAATGCACACCCCTTGTTTTGACATTAAAAGGAAGAAACATTGAACCGATCGGTGAAAAAAAGCTTTGGAAACTCAAGGATTAGTATATTAGCACAAGTAATCTATAATGTTGTCCTACATGGAGAGAGAAAGCAAACCTGATAAAATGCACTTCACAAGACAACACTTTCTTCATAAGTTCGGCGATGGAAGCCTGCAAAATGGTGTGAAGTCTCATTAATTATTAAATAGACTCGGAAGGCCCCCACATAACACACTCTCCCTCAGCATCATCTCCTTAACAACAACTACGTAAATAATATAAAGTTAACTACTTTGAGAGTCAATGATTGACCTTTCCCTTCTCTTGTCTATTTATTTAGCTATTCCCAGATCTCTTTATCCAGAGCATCGCTCTGTGATTGGTCCAGAGAACTCGCGCCATCTTCCCAGCCAATCATATGCAAAACTAAAATTAAACCAATCGCGACTTTGTCACCCTCGTTTTCCCACGCTTGAAACCATTTACGAGTTTTCACTCTCAGTTCATTTGCTCTTTCTGTTATTTTTCTTCGTTTGTTCCGAGTGAACCTTGATGATGGCTAAGAAAACTGGTCTTCGCTCAATGAAGAATACTTACTCTTAACTGGGATCCCGTTGTGTGGAAACCCCGTTCTGCTTGACGAGATTCTGTACCAGTCAAGTGTTGCACGCTGAGTATGTAAAACAACAATACTGTATGGGTCTCAAATTGCTAGCCAAATTGCAAGTCACCTTATTCGGACGGTATCAAATTAGAGTTATTTCCAATCTGCATGTTTATCATGTACGACCTTCCTAGTAACATAAGAGAGTTCTTAAAAGGAATGTAAAAGCCGCCATATCAATTAAGAATTCGAAGTGATTATTTTTAGGAGTAAAACGAGAGAAAGCGAAGAAAAACAACTTGGAACAGAGACGAGAACGGAAAAAAAAAACTCGCACAATTACCCCAAGAGCAACACAAAACCCTAGCTAAAAATTAGAAAAATGGTGCTATCTCATATCAGTCTAATGAAAGACAAGAGATTATAAACTGTTATAATATCTTGCTGAAGACATCATGTTCGACAAAATGACTTGTTAAACACATTTTCATTTACTTACACAGCTGCTTTATGTCTTAAAGTCGGATTCCTGCAAAAATATTTAAGAACATCCATTACGACTATCAGTCATTAAAACATCAACAACAAAAATAACAACAACAACGACAGGCAAAATATATCTAGACCTTTTCAATATACTTCCATCACAACAATTTCGCCATAAATGCACTACAAATCTTAAGTACTCCCAACTGATCTCAAAGTTTTCGTCCTCTTGCAGTTTGTCTATATCGAATAATTTCGCCTACATTTTTAAGATCTTTATAAGCAACCATTTTAATTTTCCCCACACTCAATAAACCGTATTCGTTCTTAGATTATCATTCCCACGAAATACTCCAATCAGGAACCCCAATCCTCGCCTTTCTAATCGTATAGTGAGAATTTCTTTGAGTGTTGCAGGCTCTGGTAGAACAGCCTGCAAAATTTCCAACGGAATTATTCCAAATTGAGCGTCAATTCAAAAGTAAACAAGGTTCATGATAGTTTTGCCGTACTATATGAGCCAATAGATAAAAAAAAGAAAACGAAAACAAATGAAATTTAACTTTTTCCAATGGCTTCCAATGTTTTCTCTCAAAAATTCCCATTAAAATTTCAAATTTTGGGGATAATTTTGTCTGACATCGAGTTTTTCAGGCACAAATCTTTTGTATTTATTTTCCTCCTTTGCGGGTGACAGGTTTCTTAAATCGCGATACTCGACTGTTTGACGGCATTACAACAGTTAAAACTTGGCTTTCGTTATTTAAAAGAAACTGTCAACTTTAATTAAGATTTAACTCAGACTCATACTTTTCTCTTACTTTTTGTTTTTCTTCATTTGCATCAAAATTTCCGGAACCGCTGATCTGGAAGCAAACCGATGTAAACTCTTTAAAACGGCATCAACATTGTTTAAGTGCCAGTTTTTCAGAAACAAAAAATTGCAGTCGCAGTACATTGGTCAAGAAAATGTGAAGTAAACAGTGTGATAGGCTCCGAGTTCAGTTACATTATAGAATCTCCCAGCAGGTGAAGCCCACACCTGGTTGAACATTTTCAGTGTGTTTCAACCTTTCGCGCAGAAATTTGGTGAAACGTTTGTTTGATGAGACATTGCAAATATATTTATGTGACATTCTTTCTCATACCTTTCTTGATGCACTGATAATGAACCTGTCCCTGAAATGGTAGCCCTGAAAAGTCTACTCACAAACTCATTGCTGCTTCCTGGAAATAAATAGCAACATGAAAATGGGAATGTTGTTTTGAGACTGGTGTGAGCACCAGTAGTTGCTGGAAAAATCGTTCAGTTGGGAGAGAATACTACCACAGACCTGGAAGGTCTAAGCTGCGAATTCTCACAGCGAGCAGATTATTTTACCCAAGCTCTTGCAAACCTTCCACATCCTTCTTTGCCCTTCCCGATGTTCACTCATCTTAGATAATTTTTTTTTAAGAGGAATTAACTAATCATAGGTTAAAGCAATGTAACTGATATATGAATTTGCCTCTCCTTTGACTACCAAGTGCTTAACCCTTTCACTCCCACAAGTGACCAAGACAGAATTTCTCCTTACAATATCAATACGATATCAAGCAGGCAGGTGATGAGAATAGAGAAGAATATCAATTATGGGATTATTAGTTGATCCAATACCAAATTCTCTGAACTAACATCATAAGAATCGTATGGCAGATAGTAAGGAGAATTACTTATTAGATCTTGGGAGAGAAAGGGTTAACTGAACTGTACCTTGCATGCAGTGAAGAAGACTTGCACCCAGCATTTCCTTGTTACTGTTCATGAAACCCAATGCCACATAAGTCACCTACAAAATAAAATAAAAAATCTGGACTTCTGATCTGTCTTAAATAAGTAAGACAGATTCGACTAAATATCTGCTTTCAAACTCCTGCAAAAATAATAACCATTAACAATCAAACCCAACCGGGTGGTATACACTTTTGAATAAGTATATACCGTATTTCTATAAATTACTTTTATATTTATTATTAATAAAAGCATTCAAAGACTTCTTTTTCCCAACAACTTACAGCAGCAGTATAATGCCTTATAGTGAAGGATGGATAAGGTGATTTGGTCATCCCATAATTGGAGTGCTTCCGATGAGCAGAACTGCATTTTTTAACGAAGGCTGCATCAGTGGAAAGGGCTGTTTTGCTTTCATCTTCCAAAATCGGCAGCAGCCCTTGGGGTGGCTGTAATGCATATTCAAAGAGCAAAATATCAGAATAAATTTTAAATACAATCATAAATAACTAGATAAAATTAAATCCATCATTGACACGCAAGTAAGGGTCACCAAGAAGTAATATGTGGCAAAACCGGGAGCCCATTAACAGGAACCTCTAACACCACTGACTTCCTGAGTGTTTCCTTCTCACGCAGATTTTTTTAGAATGCCTTTTTCACGAGAAAAAAGACCATTAATTCCCGATCTCGACCGAGTCGACCTCGCCGCCCCATGCGTGTGGGCAGATGTTTGACGTAAAGCAATAGGATGGTTTAACTCTGTTTTTATTGGGCCTTAGAGCTGAAAACATCCCTCGGGAGCCTTCCTATTGATAGATTTACTTGGGAAAGGGTTGACTCCAAGGTTTAATACGGGAGATGGGGGCTCCAGCATAGATTTGACTGTATGTGCCAAGATATTTAATTGACGTGCTGTAAATACATTGTAGTTGCTTTAACTTAATTGACTGCTGTAGTTGACATTAATGGACAGCATCAAAAGGTTAATTATAAGTAAAGCCCTTCGGACAAACAGCAAATGCCAAAATTTAAAATTTTTGCTGTCTCAATTTCTACACAGGAGTTAAAGTATTAACATTAGCCATAAACAAACAGTTTTCTGCAATTTTTCTGCACTGCAATATAGGACTTAATATATATATATATATATATATATATATATATAATGTATAAGAAAAGTAACCAAAACAAGAGATCTGTATTGCTATAAATATTATGCTTCAGCTCACACTATTGGTGGTTCAACATCCAAAACCTTTTTCCCCAGGACTTGCTAACAAACAGGTCTTTGACCTGCAGCTTGTCCAAATAGGATTCAGGAGTATGGTATGTTTATAGGATCATGACAATGTAATTGTGGGCCTTCTTAACAATACTGTGTTGGTTTATTTTGGAAAAAGTTACAGGTTGAAGTTTAAAATGAAATGAGTTGAAATAAACACAATATTACAAGAGTTCTCCAGCATGTTAATTTTTGTAATAAATAAGTCTCTCAGGGAAGCATTTTATAAGAATCAAAATGAATCAGATATATTATACTCACATTAAGCAAAAGGTCAACAACTTTCTTGTTATCATAATAGGATATCTTTTGGGTTTTCAGGCCTTCTGATTCAAGCTCCTCCTATAAACATGAATAATAATAAATAACAATATTTTTGATAGTCAGATCATAATAAAACTTTTCCTTTTTTTATTTTGAAAACTTTAAGCAAAGAAAGGCTACTGCAAGCAAACCAAAAAAATATTTTTTTAGCGCAGGTCAATTACTTTACATCATGCTGTACCCTTGCAGATTATAAGGCATAGCAAATTGCAATCACATGATGCACGCACCTTTAATTTAGTTCAATGTGACATTTACAATTCCTGACTGGTTACAAACCCTTCATGACCTTGGATTCTTTATCAAAAAACATCTCTGTTTATCAACTAGTTACCTGTTCCCAAGCAAAAACACGTTGGTTGTAAAAATGTGCCAACTGCTCATTTGCAGTGTTGATGCAGAGTTGCTGAAGACCATTTACTTCACACTTTTCAAACCCAAAAATATCAAGCAGTCCAAGGGATGGGCCTGTGTAATGCCTGAAAGTAAAGCAAAAGGTTGAAAGTCATAACTAACAAATTATGTCTTAATTTAAGTATTAACTCAATTGACCAATTCAATTTATAATTTCATGAGAAAAATATCATCCATCTGATAATTGTTATTAATTTTGAAATGCCTTACAAATAAGTAGCAATCACTTTTTCCCTTGTAAAGCACTCCAGCAGAATTTTTTTTCTTAGTTGTTACCTTAGTTCATTATCTTTATCCTTCAAGCAGCTGTTTACTTTCAACACAAGCCAGCCAAACAAGCGACCATACAGCATCTTGGCTAAGTTGTCTCGCCCTTCATTAGCCAGACCCACAGGCTTTTGAATTGATATCTTCTCACCTTTGGGGATCAAAAGAAACAACAACATTTATCAAAACAACTGGGACTAACCAATCAGTAATAGCCACAGAAATAAAAATCAAGTCTGTATACCACAGCCAGGTGGCTTGCAGACATTAAAATATCATTCAGCTAATATTTCAGTCTACTTTAGATGGTGTGAACCAAGTGGGAGTATTTTTAATCCCCTTGCATGGGATGCCAATTCATGATAAGTTATTCAACCCTCCCCCAGGCAGGGGTGGGAGGTTTCTCTGACAGTTTGCCCAAAACCCATTTTCACTCCTTGGTAAAAAAAAGAATTATGAGATATTCAAAGGAGTCATCACACAAAGCCCAGAATCAGGTCTAGAACACTAAGTCCAGTACCATATATGTGCATGCTAACAATTGGACAATTGAATCTCCCAAATAAATTTCCCAAATAAATTTCCCATCCCAAGCTGTTAAAATCTGGTATTTCTGTTTTATTTAGTTTTTCACTCCTTGGCTGGTACATTTCTTAGAGTACATTTAATTGTTTTGTAATTCAGACATGGTTCTCAAATGTTTTTCAAAGTTTCATTGCATTCATGTGGTTAAGAAAAATTCTGACAGACAGTGTTTTTTTTTTTCTCAGCTATATCTCATGCATGCAGTCATAATTGGTGCCAATTTTGGGCTGACACATGTAAGTGATGTGTTAAAAATATAATTAGCATAAAAGCAAATCTACAGGGAAGTTACCTTTTTGGTAGGTGATTCCCTTTATCAGAGCCTCACCCATATCATCCTCTAACACACCAAGAAGTGAACTAGCTGCAACCAGCATTAGGTTACCACACGAAAATAAAATCAAAATTAGTAATCACTACAATGGATCTGAAGTTTAGCACTGGTCAAAATACCCTATGCAGGTTCAGCAATGAAAGGGCAGCATAAAACAGTTTGAGAATCTCTTAAATCTCATTTGCTTGTATGCATAAGACAACCCACCCACTCATGCCATTGTCCAGAACAATGAAGTGCAGCGAGGTATCCTTACCGCATTTCACAGGCTGAGGATCTTTCACAAATGCTGAATTTGTTTGTGTTTTTGAACCAAATGCAACATTTCCAATGTGAAGAATAGCAACTAAACACTTGGAGACGTTGAGAATTTCCTGAAAGATTTGACATATCATGACACTTTGATTATTATTACAGATAAATTCAAAACTGAATTTTGATGACCCCAATTCTCAATAAATAGCAAATGAATATCTTTATATAAGTCAAAATTCCTGATCAACTTTCATTTTTCTATGATAATCAAATGAATACAAATTCTTTAGGTTGATTTATTAACTCTTTAACTCCCAAGATCTGATCGTTAATTCTCCCCTGTAGCTGCTACACGTTTCCTTGTAAATTAGTTATGAGAACTTGGTGCTAGATCAAGACTACTAACTGACCTACCTGATAAGTTTGAGTATTCTTAATACACGTTGCCAGGATAATGTGTGGATGTTATAAGGAGAAGTTACATGTTAATCACTCATGGGAGTTAAAGGGTTAAATCTTTCAATTTTGTTCTACTATGCAAATGTGATCATTAGGCACCAGTTTCTCTCAGAACAGCAGTCAGTGCATATCAACAATCAGCCTTCAGAAAATCAAATTTTTAAAAAAATCTACTCGGTAAGAGCTATAATTTTTATGTTAATTTCTTTTCATGACAAAGCAAAAGTGCATTTATCACAGTTAAATCAACAAAATTAATGATGCCACTTCAAGCTACCCTTGCTAGCATGTATGCTTACAGATAAATGTCTTGAATGATAAAAGCTAAAACCTTTTTGGAACATCAAAAAAAGAATCTGGAATGAACTAAAATTATGAATTTTTTTCTATATCTTCCTCCATGTTGCTGACTGCTAAAGTTCCCTAGTATTGATTAGCTGTCTGCAAACTTCTGAAGTACAAAGTCAGACTGCCTCAGTATATTTCAAACACGTGGAGTTACACTGTGTACTTCATAAGTTTGTTTTTGATGGGTTTTCACCATAGGGATTGATAATTGGACAGTTATTTGTTACTTCTTGGGTACGATAAGCCAACTCAAGAAGTTAAAAGGTTAAGCTGAATGGTTTCATTATGTACTATAAAACCAGTTCATTCCTAATTCTTTTTTGGTGTTCCAAAAAGGTTTTAGTCTATATTGAAAGTAATTACCTCTTTAGTAAAGCCAACGGACTCCATGCACTTTAACAGCTCTATATATTTCTCACTTAAGATTTTCTTGCTGGTCTCATCCACTGGAGGAACTGTTGGGTCATAAGAGAGGTATCTGGATGCAAAAAGATAGGAGGGCTGCAGTTCAAGATTGACTGGTTGTTATTTGGTAAATACCTTGTAACTTCTGATAAAAACAAGAAATTGTGGTGTATGATGAAAGAAGTCACACTATCATACTTGTCAGACTCTCTTATTCATATATCACTTGTGTTGAAGGGGATGGTTTGGCTACAGAGCTGAGTTTACATATATTGTGGGTAAATAAATCTCTCATATTTTGGACATTGAACAATCCATATGCAACAGAAATGTCATTAATACTGGTAGTCCTACAAATGAACATTGTACAGGTGATGAATATTGATTGCCTCTGATAGTTACTGTTCATCATTTCACTCCAAAGATCTGTTTAATGCTCTCTTTGCTGTCTGTCATGCAGTAATCTTATCACGATGTTATAGATGTATGTAGTTTGGAGAATTTGGTAGTAGATCAGTTGATAATCTCCTAGTTGTTATTTTTCTTCATTCCCACCAATTTTCGGCTTGATATTGTATTGTTATTGTTAGGAGAAATTCTGTCCTGGTCAGTGATGGGAATTAAAGGGTTAGAGCTTGAAGAATAATTAACTGATGCTCTGATGCTCTCTGTGATTGCCACGCATTGTTTTTCCCAAGTTAAAGAAACACAACAAATATGGCATTTGGATGACTTAAATCACAGATACCGTATGTACTCGTGTATAAATGGACCTTTTATGACCAAAAA